GATGTAATCAGAGGACCAACTGTCTTGGTGTATGTGGGCAGCATTGTCCTTTTTTCACCCAATTTCTGTATCATCTAAATTGAATTGATAAAGACAGGAAAGGTACGGTTTAATGCACTTTTAGAATAAATACTATAAATACTAATACTGCCAAACTTTAAACTGATGCCTGTGCTTCTCATCTGACAGCTCTAGGTCTGACTCCTTGTCCACGATTGTGAGGAAAATCCTTTCTGCCTCAGTCTGCCCTCTGCTTCCTGAAATTTGAACACAAAATGCGAGGTCCCTACAAAGGACACTGAATAAAAGTAAAGAGGTAAAAAAAATTAAAAAAATTAAAAAAAAGGTAAAATTGACATACATCTCTTAAATCCTAAAGCTCGGAGTCTCAAACTGAAGAAAACAATTTGATTTTAAGCAACAGAATCAAAATATTTGCCATATTATCACTTACCCTCCCTTTTGGCCATAAAATGTGGAAACTGCAATTCCCGTCATTTAGAGCCCAACTCCCAAAAATCTAGCACACAATATAGTATCAGGGCTTCTTTCTTTCTTTTTAAGACTATACTGTGAAAGTATTTTTACGTTCTCCACACCAACAGGAAAGTTGAGTTTAACCTTTTCTTTTTTTATATAGAGTCGACTTTGTGAGACAAAGATTACCAGGGTAACGCAGGGAACAATGGGAATCAGTTGGTGGGTGGTAACAGGCGCTCTAAAGGCCCATAAAAACAATTATTAAACAGTCCTGTCATCCTCACTGTGCCTTATGTAGCACTCACACATCACCTAAAGTATGTTCGACATTTCAGCTGAAAGATCTGATTTGCTTTTTTGTACTTAATTTGATACTTGACTTGCGGTAGAAAGCAATCTTGTAAAACGTAATCATCATCCACTGGTGACAAATATATGATGCTATGACATCATGTAGTGGGTGGTTTAGGAACTGTTTATTCCTGGAGTTTTACATATATATATTTTTTTCTTTTTACTTTGGGCCACTACAGGTAAAGTTATATCTAAGACAGTGTAGCACTTTCAAAAACCAAAAAATAAAAATAGTTTACATGTCAAACGCTAATTTTATAAATTTTAATAAATTATTTGTCTCTTTTCCTTACATAATCATATGAATTCAACTTGTTATGCTCCACATATACGACTGGTCTCTCACAGGTTCTGTGCCCCACAGACTAAGAGCCCAAGTATACAATCGCTCTCCAACACCTCAAACTATTGTACCAGATCTACCAGTTTACGTTATTTATCCTTACATTTTATTGGCAGTTTGCACATCATTTACACTTTTTTTATTACTTTTGTTTTGGTTCAAAAGAGCTGCTCTCAGTGGACAAATACAATGTGAGTGCAAAAAAAGAGTTCATTTATTCCAATTCTGGTTTTTGTTTTAAGGGCAATACAATGTTACCACACTAGATGGCAGTAAAGTCATTCTTCAACCGTCTGTCAGCGAATAAGTGTGACAATTATCCAAATAAAATTCCATTTATGTGTATTTGTTACTTTAAGTGTGTCGTACTAACCCCATATATATAGTATAGTGATACCCAGCCCTCCTCGCAGTTCTGCTATCAGTCCCCCGCTTTTCTGAGGACAGCCGCCCTCATGTTTTAGGGGCGGTAGTCTGAAGCTATTCGTCCTTCTTCCTCACATATTCATTGTACAAGCCTGTAAGGACCGACTACAGACGCGGCTTTCCAGAGACCCACGGCGGAGCTACATGAACATCCTCTTCGACAAACATTGACAATAATGGCTACTGAAAACTTCGAACTGACCGGCGATGTGGACAAAAACGGCGAGGCAGAGGTAAGGACTGCCAACAAATTCTTGTTTAGCAATATAGCCCTCACTAACATCCTGCTCAGGCTCAGCCAAACGCACATTCCCACAGAAATAATTCCCAGTTTGTGGCAGTGTGGGATATTCCCGGCTTACACGGGTTTTTTTCCCATCCATTTCTCTCATCTGTTCACTCCTCCTCATAATGTCGCTTGATGTAGACCAGAGCGACTGAACTTGTGTCATTCAAAGTATTAGAAATGTAGTGAGCTAATTGTAGCCAGTTAGCTGGGGTTTGCTTTAATTTGCCTGTAATTCCAAGGCTAATTTGAACATCTTCTGACATTTTCCACTTGGTTTTGTGGTGTGAGAGAGAGTTCATCTGCTGTTGTCCAAAGGCTCAGTTTACTTCAGATGATACCTCGGGGTTTAAGCATTGTTCTGTGGAGGATCAGGTTGATCAGCTCACCCAAAATCAGTGATAACATGTAACTAAGTGGTTTGTTCAAATAGTACACCTTTAACATGCCTTTGTGTCCGTAGTCTGAGATCAGTAGGAGCTTTATTTATATGAGATGTTTAGAGTTATCTATGACATTAAAGTAACAATGACATTTTGTGTTTTATCAAAACGTCCAAGGTGTCACTTGCATGGGAATACACTGCATGCTGACCTTAGCAGATGAGTGCAGTGGAAAGCTACAATAAAGTGTTATTGCTTATTCTGCCACAGTAGTCCACAGGAAAGACTCTGAAGTATGCAATAGGTAATCCAAACCCAAGGCAGAGAAACCCAGTCATTAATGATTGACAGGCTCATTTGAGTTGTACCAAAATTATTAGGTTACTTGATTAAGTGAATCCTATAATCAGTTTGTTACCACCACTATTAAATAGCTATTAGTTATGAATTTGATTAGTCATAATTTGAGCCGCATTAGTTGCATTCCCGATATGTCAGTAATAATTAAAAGTAATAATGATCAAGTCAGAGTGAGAGACATACACCGAGTTCTCACCTCAGAGTTCCTGTGCTCCTTAGACTGCGTAGTACATACAGCTTGATTTAATATTAACCACAGACATTATATAAAACAGGAATGGCAGCCAAAGGTCACTCATTCCCATAGTAGTTTGGGTTATGGTGGCCTTTGGTTAGCTACACAATGAAAACCACATCACACAAGAGCAACAGTCAAAGACTAAACGCAGTATTACAAGCTGATCATCCAGATTGCCCCATTAATGTTAGTGTTATGATTTCTAATCTTTACTAGTAATCGGCTTTCTTTTGATATGTAAAATAAAATAATACTGCTGATAGATGATGTGATCACATAAATAATGCAGCCCTGAGTCCAAAAAATTGAAACAGAGGAATTTTTTTGCTCATTCTGTTTACCACTGTGTTGTAATAGCTCTTGTTGTAACACAGTTGTTGGTAGATGTTGATAGAAAACCAAAAGCCAATTCAGAAGTACCTCAAAAAATTCTATCTGAAGATGGTTAAAGCTGTGGTTGCAAAAACACTTCCTGTCCTATAGAAACAGCTCTCTCTCTTGACCTCTGTAAACACTTCCCTGCTGAGTTTGTGAGGTCAGTCCCTCGCGTTGGGTCCGAATGAGTTAAAAAGGTTGTTCATTGGCTAATGAGTTGTTAATCAGAAGTCATTTTTATATCACTAAATATCGGTATTGATCTTAAAAATGGTAAATTGGTTTGGCCTTACTCTCTGACAATGTTTGAATCGAAGAAATCAGTTGTTGCACTAGAAAGCAAAGTATGTTCCCATTGCCCTTTTTACCGAACAGTTTGTTGTTAGACTCTTTTTGTTTTTTTCAGTAATGTGGGGTCAGGACATAATTCCTTTACTATAAACCCACGGTCGAGGAATGTGTTTGAAATTAGCAAGAATGCTGCTAGTGCAGTTTCATCTGAAGATCAGGGCCATTCAACTGTTTGTCAGATAGTACTGCAAGTGTCAGACTAAGACTAAAATATGCAGATGCTTTGATGATATTAATAACAATAATGGATTGCATTTATATAGCGCTTTTCGAGACCCTCAGAGCGCTTTACAATTCCACTATTCATTCACACACTGGTGGAGGTAAGCTACAGTTGTAGCCACAGCTGCCCTGGGGCAGACTGACAGAAGTGAGGCTGCCAAATCACACCATCTGGCCAACACCAGTAGGTGAAGTGTCTTGCCCAAGGACACAACGACCAAGACAGACAGAGCAAGGGATCAAACCGGTAACCTTCCGGTTACAAGATGAGCTTCCCAACCCCCTCAACCACGGTCGCCCGTAACCGTGGTTTCATCCATTAATGATATTCAATGGATGGAATCCCCAAAAATTCTTTGCAGTTTTATATTTAAGATAGGTGTTCTAACCGTTTTGGAAATAGGACTGTAATTAGTTGCCAGCCAACTTGTATCCCTTGTAGGAAGATGATTATCACATGTGGTGAACTATCTAGAAAACTTCAGCTAAAAATAGCAAAGACTAAACAAAGAAAAAGTAACTCAGAGAGAGAGAGAGAGAGAGAGAGCACCAGTTAGGAGTTTAAGTATATAGTGAGTGAAAGCTGGTGACTCTCAATTCTACCTCATAAGTAGGGATGGGTATCGAAAACCGGTTCTTGTTGAGAACCGGTTCCCACTGTTTCAATTCCTTGGAATTGTTTGCCATTTTTGCAAACGATTCCCTTTGCACGATTCCCTTTGTGTAAGCCCAGCATTGTCGAATGACAAATGACGTCACCACGTTGCGGAGCGTCATTTACCTGGCAGGAAACAAGGCGCCTAAGCGGCTCAAACCAGTGTTGCCAACTTAGCGACTTTGTCGCTATATTTAGCGAGTTTTCAGACCCCCTAGCGACTTTTTTTCTAAAAAAAAAAAAGTCGCTAAAAAAGACGTGAAAGACATTACAAAAAACAATAATTGCTAAAAGAAATTTAATTTGTAGTTCTAAATAAATTCTAAATGCATTTAGGACGTTTTTTGCTCACTTTATGTCTCGTCCACGATGTTATTTCTCTCTCCAGCAGCATAGGTTACAAATACATTAGCATGACCAATTATGCAAATTAGGTGATGACGTCATTTAGCGACTTCTAGCGACTTTTAGGACAACCAATAGCGATTTTCCTTACTGAGGAGTTGGCAACACTGGCTCAAACGCTCAAAAGTTTGGTTGTACTTTACGAGAACGGATGACAACACGGCAACTTGCAATACTTGCAAAGTAGACATTTAATTTAAGGGAGGAAACACTACGAATATGCAAAAGCATTTGCTCACAAAACACGCGATGACCTTAAATGAATGTCGTGTTTTTAATTCCGCTCCGGACTCGTGAATCTCAACCCAGCAGCATCTGTAACGTTTGCACGTCCTCTCCCGCGGCAGGTAAATAATCAACTAACAGTGCATATTATGTTAGCGCGATCTGCCTTATTACAAAACCTGCCATTACTGTGCATTTAGGTGACCATGATGAGAGAGACAGACAGAGGCTGGCTCAGATGCTGGCAGTTCTCGCTGCAGTCTACCGGTAGCGTCTCCTTTCAGGCCAGGATAGACGAATGTCACCGAGAAGTGACTAAGTTTGTGGTAAAAGGCTTGCACCCGTTTGCCACAGCAGATGCCACCGATTTTCAGTAAGTGAATGTGTTTAATTGTAGGCAGGGACATTACTGGATATTCTTGTGTAATTGCAATAGAATAATTTATGTTATACTTTGTTATTGCTACAGAAGAATATTTATTTTATTATTTCACATTTACAATTTTTTTCCCCGGGGACCTTGTGACACCCCATGGAAGAGCCGTAGGCTGTGGATCTCTTAAGATCTCACTGTTGGGTTTGTAAGGCCATGTTACTCCTAAATTTCTATCTTGTTCAAAGAGAAGATATAAAAAAAGTTCTAGGTTAATCGACCTTAGTGTTCTCCTTTTTAAAAAAAAGAATCGATAAGAGAATCGATAAAGAATCGAATCGTTAAACAGAATCGAAAATGGAATCGGAATTGTGAAAATCTTATCAATACCCATCCCTACTCATAAGTATCTTTTTCTCCCTCTGTGGCCTGGCAGGCTTTCATGGCTGCAGTCAGAGTCAGACCTCAGCGTATAATGTTGCCAACCGGTGCACAAGGTTGGTGTTGTTGGGCCGTTAAACCTCCACCCAGCTGAAACTTTGAGCAATTTGTATGAGAATCTCATTAGGAGAAACTGGGGTTTCACCAGTGACCATAGTTTCCTGTGACGAAAAGTTACTATTATTTTTTGTTAGTTCCAAGTTAACTTGGAAGAGAAACTGAAGATAACTACTACTTTTTTCTTTCTCTTTTAGTGCTTTCTGTTTAGTATTGAATAAATAATCTTGAGTATCTCGCAGTAATCAAACATGTAACCCTGATAGTGGGGTAAGTGTGGTGATTTCACCCTGTATGATGCCAAATGTATGCTCTAACAAATACTTATTCATGAGATATTAATAAGCGTCTTCACTCACTTTCCCCCTGTGTTTGGATAGAGGTCATTTTGGTGTTTTTGTGACCTGGTCACTTGGGGGGAAAAAAAGAAATAAGAGGATGTGTGTTATTTATGACCTTTGGCCCAAATCCAACTCCTTCTCCTTGATGAGAGTTCCTGTTCAGTTTAAAAAAAATACTTTCACTTCCATTAATATCGTCCACATCACTTCTCAGGTTCAGCATGTGACATGTTGCCTTTTTGAAACAACACCAAGACATGGACAATGCACCATATTGCTAAAGACATTCAGTGAGATTTGAGAAGTCATGTGTTGACTAAAGCAGGCGATAAACAAACTCTGGGCTGTTTGTCTTATGTGAAGCTTTGTCAAAAAATATCCTGTTTCTGCTGCATTATTTTTGTCATTTATAGTTCGGACCCGACGACAGCAGAATACAAAACAAAGTCATTCTTAATCATGACATGTTGTTCTAGGGAAACCAAAACTGTAAAGTCAGCCAGTTACATTTTGAAATAAATTCCATTATGATGGCAGCAGCAGAGGACTTCTCCCTCTTCTGTATATTAAAGTAACCTTGTAAATATCCCAGTTTATGCAACAGGACAAGATCGCTGTGCTTTTTAGTTAAATTGTGCAAAACAAGTACTACATTCAAGTGTGTTTATTGTGATTTAATTTAATAATCACTAAACGGGTAACTTACCTGAATGTATTAATGTTTTGAGCTTTATCGAGAGTAGAGCTGTTAAATGTGATTGTGTGTAATATTCACTGTCTTTGTTATACTTATGTTGGGGTTTGTGTTTGTGTTCAGACCCCGCGGCAGGGCCATGAGAGGCGGCTACAGACATCCCTGAATATGAACCACTATGCCAATAAGAAGAGTGCAGCAGAAAGCATGCTGGATGTAGCTCTGCTCATGGCTAATGCCTCCCAGCTGAAGGCAGTGATGGAGCAAGGACCAAGCTTCACCTTTTATGTGCCCCTCATTGTTCTCATTAGCATCTCTCTCACTTTGCAAATCCTAGTCGGAGTTCTGCTCATTTTCATAGGTAAGTCTGGAGGTTGTTGCCAGATTTCCATTTGCTTAACTTTGTTACAGTTTTCTTGGTATTTCTGGCTTGAAACCTTTAAAAAAAAAAATCAAAATATAAGCCTATAGAATTTTTTTTAATTCAGTGTAAACCATAATTTTATTATCTTTACTACTTTAATTTATAAAGTGATAAATAGGTATTATTCATAAATGTGTTCGTAAATGCAATTTAAAAGTTGTTTTTTCTAGTCTCTGTCTGATCTGACACACATATACATTCATTGTCAGCTATGTGAAGTCTAAGTTTAAAGCATGTACGTGAAGGTCATGAATAATTCAGAATTTGTGAACAAATGTCCTTTTAGATTGTTAAGCCTTTCAACCAAAATTCTCAGCATAATTCTCAACTTTAAAAGTAAGTAAAAGAATTTTAAAATGAATACGATATTTGACAGGAAGCCAGCGTAAATTTGCTAAAACTGGAGTGATGTGTTCATACATTTTAACACCTGTTAAAAGACGGGCAGCAGCATTTTGGGCTAACTGCAAGCGATGAAGAGATGAGTGTTGAAGACCCAAATAGAGAGAATTGCAATAGTCTGTTGCGGACACTTGCTTCTCTAATTTAAAAGAGCTACCTAAAAACACTCCGAGATTCCTTACAGTGTGAGAAAGATGAGAAGCAAGAGGACCAAGGGTAGTTAGCTTAGTCAGTTAGCTTATCAAAAGGGACATGACTTCCAAAAACCATAACTTCAGTCTTATTTTCATTTAGTGTGAGAAAATTCTGAGTTAACCAGTCTTTAACATCATGTAGACAGTTTAGCAAAGCCTGCAGGGGGACAGAGACATCCAGATTCAAGGGAAAGTAAATTTGGATGTCATCAGCATAACAATGAAAGGGGATGTTGTATTTCCTAAAAATAGACCCCAAAGGCGGCATGTATAGGGAGAACAGAGTTGGACCCAAAACAGACCCCTGTGGCACACCACAACACAACGCAGAGGAAGAGGAGTATTGCCCAATAGCAACAGAAAAAGACCTCTCTGATAAATATCATTTAAACTATGATAAAACTGTGCCTTTAAGACAAACAACGTGTTCAAGTCTTGATAAAATAATTTTATCATCAACTGTGTCAAAGGCGGCAGTCAAATCTAAAAGGACAAAAACAATAGAACAACCTGAGTTGTCTGTTAAAAGAAGATCATTAAAAACTCTTAAAAGCGCAGTCTGAGTACTCAGTACAGTAATGTAAAAACAAAGAATTACCCGATTTTTTTTTTTTTTTGTTTTTTACCTTATTTTTGTTTCTAAGAAAAATGAGAGCCACATATGAGGATATTCGTTTAAAGAAGAATTTCGATAGAACAGTAGCAGTATAATGTCCTCGTAAGTGGATATCAGGCCCTTGTAGAGAAAAATTGAGTATTTTGGTCTAAATAACCCAAAATGTGATGTCCACATATGTGGATGCCAGGTCCTAGCAGGTTAAGGCAGAAAAATTCCCAGGCTCAAACTGCTGAAAAACAACTGAGCATTTAGAAAGTGGATCTAGGTCTAACACTGCCTGTGAATGCAGGGACCTTAAAGCAGAGATTTTTTCAGTGAAATGTTTCAAAAAGTTTTCACAGTGCAAAGGAAGCTACACTAGGAACAGTGGCACAGGGGTTAACCACAGAATTAAAAACATTAAAAAGAAATCTGGGCTTGTGACTATTGGTAGAAATTACACCGGATAGGAAAGCAGATTTTGCAGCTTTAACAGTTTTCTGATATTTTGTTAAGCGGTCATGCAGGATGCTTTTTCCATTTTCTCTGCACGTCGTGTCTGAGAGCACGGGTGGTTTCATTCAGCCAAGGTTGACGTGAAGATTTGGTGCATTTAGATAGCATGTATCACTTGATTATAAACAGACCCATAAACATTCCCTTGTTATGTAGTGTCTTAATGAAGGAAAGAACTAATTATACACCTGAGGGCAGCAGCTGTCAGCTAATTCATGTCTTATCTTTCAGTATTAATGTGACAGAAAACTGTGTATTGCCCCCATGTGGGGAAATGAGATAGTTCCTAGTGACTGTGCACAAACATGTTTCCATTCCTCCATACTCACGATTATGTTTTTCTTCTTCTGTTTAGTTAAGTGGAATCTAAATGATGAAAGAAATCACTACAGATTGGACATCTTGGAGAATGTGACCACAGCTTTCGTCTTTATTATAGTGGTTATCAACGTCTTCATTACGGCCTTCGGTGTCCAGCAGCCCAGCTCGAGTGGTTGATTGTGTTTTAAATAGTTTTCAATCCCTACTGATCAATTTAGTAAAGGCAGGACATCCAGACAGGGAGAGACAAGATATTTATTCACCAAACTGGCTGGCATGCAGGTGTATTTGCTTTTCTGTAATTCAACCTATCAGGTCTCAGGAGAACCAGTGAACTCAGAGAATCAAGTTACAGTATATTGTCTCCTGTGTGTGTTTCTGAGTATAAGGAGTTTCTCAGACCATGGCCAGTCATGCACATGTGTTGATCAGTTCTTGTTTCATGTGGCTATTAACTAGTCTGTTACCTCAGATCTTATAATGCTCAGGTTACTGATGCAAATAAGTAATTGTGTGTATGCGGAAAACAAACATCAAGAGCAATAGTCACAATCACTGTAAAGGTTTCCCAAACAACAGCTAAAGAAGACCACCTGCTTTTATTTTGAAGTTCTTAAACAGGTTAGTATGCCTTTATGTTTTTGGAAAAAAAACAAACAAACAAAAATCACAGTTACTACCACAGAATCCAAAGAAAATTAACAATGGTGAGTGCATCATGATTCATTCTGAATTGCTGCTGTAAGAGGTATTATATGTGTAACAGCTTTACCATTCTAATAATGTTTACAGTAAGCCTTAACTGCTTTATTTTTTAAAGAGCTATGCAAAATCTGTCTAAAGAAAATTTCAACCTCCTAGCATACACCAGCTCATTGTTGACCCACCTATGGTTAAGAGTTTTTTGTTTGGTTAATGTTCACCACGTTTCTTATAGAATTTTCACCTGAATGGGAAACCCCAAATGAACCAAAAAGAAATGTATTACACCTCATCAACGGTGGTTGAAATAAAACCAAACCCTAACTCATGATGGATTACCGGTGACCTGGTGGATGTTTACAGGTTAAACTTTTTTCCTTGCCTTACGAATTAGTTTGTTTTTCTGTTTGTTTATTGTGAATTATATGGTTACTTTGAGACTTTTTTAAATGCATTTTTGAGGGTCGTTGTCTTTATCCTTTAATAATCCCGTGTTACACACTGCCTATTTTTAAACAATTTGTTATACAAAATAAAACTACACAACCATCAAGTTGAGTGTTTTTTTGTTGTTCCTGGTTTATTGTGCGAAGACAAAAGTCAGTTTTACAAAATGATGGCATCCCCACATAAGGCACAGGACACACAAATCATGACAAACTGGCTTTATGTTAACTAATTTTCACCACTAGACAAATTTTTATGTTTAGAGGTTGTTGATTACAAGGCACAAACACAAAAATAATTTAAACTACAATTTGCCACAATATTATCATCTGACATCCTGAGAATTAACCTTCAAACCACGAAGAAGGTTTAAGCACCATTACTAGTATATCTTGTGTGCGTTTTTACAGAAAATACTATGAAGTTGTATTTGCTTCAACATTTGGTGCAAGTTAATTTATTGCTAGACAGTATTTAAAATAGGCAGGAGAGGCACAGTATGAACAACAAGACAAAAATATCCATACTATATGATACAATATGGATTTATAACTGTAGCAAACTAAATGTAACTACTTCAGTGAGAAGTTTGACGCCGGGTTTTCAGTGGTAAGCCAAACGAGGACAATGAAAAATGAACGTCCTGCCCGAAACAGCGGAAGCAAAGAGTATGATAGATTTCCGTTCTTCAACTGCTCGGTGGAAAAGCAGGGCGCGGTAAGTGACAGAGTCAGCTAAACAGTAACGGGGAAGTTCAAGGAGCGGTTAAAAACAATAACAAAAGAAAAAAAACATGGTTAGAGATGCCACGAAGTAGGTGGCAATGCCTTAACCGTATGTGTGTTGCAGGCCACTAGGGCCAATTCCATCCTTGTCAAGGGGAGTGCTAACCTTCTCTCCTTTCATACAACACACCCTCCCAAAAGCAGGACGTCGTCATATATACCCGCGAGGACACGGCTTGGTTTCACTCACGGTGTCACTTCCAAACTTTAGTCTAATTAAAAAGGTTGAATATTGATGGCTTTCTTCAAACGAGTGGTTCACTATTTATGTTTTCTTTGTTTTCAGTTACATTCGATATTTATGTTTTCAATTGGTTGCAACTCTACCCACAGTGCACTGCGGTAGGAAGCCGTCCTCGCATTGGTAGATGCAGTCACGTGATTGTAACATTCGCTATAAAGTCGTTTAAAGCATTACATTTATGGATTTGGCTTGTCCCATGTGGCACTGGATTGTTCACACGTTTAATATCTTTTATTTGTATTGTGAGATGCGGAATTTGGGGAAGTTCTTATGAAACAGACGTAAATTTAGTAATGTAGCTCCTCTTTTAACCACAAGATGGCAGCCAGGGGCTGTTCTTGACCTAACTGAAGAGCTTAAAACTAGTTCTTTAAAAAAAACAAACAAAAAAAATTTGTTCTTAACAAATCATAGATTAAAGTCAAGAACCACCCCATTATTTAGTTTTCAAATTTCTCAGTTTGATAAAAGTAATAAAGTAAGTTGGGTGTTAGGGAAAAAAAGTTTGAAACTAGTTTTGTGGAGGCATTCCACAGCACAAATCCTCCATTTCATTTTCCTACACTAGTTTTAACCTCAACTGTATTAATCCCTCAAGACCATTTAAATGGGATACTTTCAATTGTGAAGTACCAAATGCAAACAAGCAAAATAAGCGTATATATCATTTACACTGTGTACATAATTACCTTAAAACCCTTGAAAATATATAGTGTGTTGTGCTTTGGTAAAAGCAGCAAGAGCAGAACAACTGAAGAAGACTCCCTTTACTTTATGAGGCTTTCCTCAGTGTACCATATAAGAACTTCTTGAGCTTTTCTTTTCAGTCCAAGAGCAGCCATCCCGAGTGCCCGGCTTCCTCCAGTCACTTTAGCTTCTACACAATAAGAAATAAATAAAAATGACCTCTGGAAAAGGTGAAAATTGTTTTCACACTATTAAAATGAGCATGTATATAATCCTGACAATATAAGATGAAGTCATGTGAAAAATTTGGGAGAAAAAAAATTACCACTGTAGTAATAGAAGAAAGCCATTCCCACTACAAAAGTGAAACAGCCCATAAAGAAGAGGGGACCTGGAAAACAGGAAGCACATAAAAAATTAGGTATCATGTCAGTGCTAAATAATTAGATACAAGTTTTGCCTTGAATAGTTTTGTCACAGTTTTGAAAGTTATTTTTTAAACATTTGGAAAGCCCTCATAGCTTAAAAGCAGCATCGCTGTTTATGTTTTATAGTTTTGTTTCTTAATTATATACATAAATAAATTACACTGTATATTACACGGCACACATGCTGGCACTAATTCTTTACCCTCCCTCCAAATCTTACCTCTGTCATTCAAAGCATGTCTCTGTTTGATGACCCGTGGAAGTTTGAGCGGATCCAAGGAATCTGGAAGCAGGATGGAATAAAATGTAAAATATGCCTACATATATAACCACAATTACTCCCCATAACCTCCAAAAAAACTGATATGTATGAAAGTGGTATGATATGAGTATAAGCCATTTCAGAGACGAACCTCTGAGGTGAAGCCTTGTAGGCAAACTGTAGTAGACCTCCTCAACATGCAAGTGAAGAGCCCTGTAAAATTCCCTGCATGCTTCCTCTCCTTTCCCTTGTAGGTGTGTCAAGAGTTCACCCAGTCGAACACTTGTGGGTACATCCAAGTTTCGGAACTGGACAACAGTTAACAACAGATATTATTTGTTAATCTTACACTGAAATCATTCACTATGGTGTTTTAACCTCAAGATTTCCAGAACCGTGAATCCTTTTTCCAGGTGTCTGTATAGGAATATTTTCACTTGAAGCGATGGGACATAAATAAATACATTTATTACTGGAATTTAAGCTAGTTTATGTAAGTGTGCCTGCTGAAATACAGTTTTAAAGGCACCTGGCGATGCTTGAGCATTTTAATTTTATGCAGCTTCACGCTTTTCTTTCTTTTACTCCTGCTATCCTGTTGACTATGGTTCCATTTTCAGAATGAGGTTCTGAAAATCTGCAATCACTACAATTATAACAACTCTCCAAAACCACTTTCTTTCTTCTTCTTCTTCTTTTTAAACCACAGACCTGACAACCTTCTTATAACTGAGCATGAACAAAAAACATCCGTTATTGTGATGTATTTTCAATCAGTGCACACTTTAACGATTTTTGAACACAACAGCTTTAACCAGACATTAACACCTCCACGTATATATCACAGTAAGGAAAGATGAAACTGTGATACAGGCATGCAGATGTTTGAATAGTGGTTTTGGTCTGGGTTTCTAGATTGTTACACCCCTAGCAACCACTGTATAAACCATAGCAGCTACCATAAACAGCTATAGCGAAACCAAATGCTGCATGCAAGTGATCAAACTAGTAATAACAGCATCGTTTATACAGCTTGTGAGCTCATGGCCATTCTGTTGCTGTGCTGGTTTTATTATGCACTTGCAACTACACTAATAAACACCGCAGTGTATTTCTAGAGCAGTACAACTTCGATTTTTTTTTTCAACATTGTTTTACTTGAATGTTATTCCGTTGCACCTCTGTCAGTATGCCACAGAGACAGTAAATGGCTGCTGAGGATGACTCACTTTGGTTGCCTCCTTGTCAGTGAGGATCTGCGGGTAGATTCTGTTGAGCTGCAGGATGAGTTTATCCACGACTTCTGTGTCCAGTCTCGGGTCATGTTTGAGGAAGGTGCTGTCCTCTGTGAGCTGCTCACAAAAACTGTCTGTCGGTGTAAACGGAGGCGTTAAACCCATTCGGTATATGGGCAGTTGTTTATCAGCAGGCTAGCATTTTTCTTTGGAAGGGTACGTAAGTAGGCAGTGGTTTACTCATAGAAAAGAAACTTTAAAGCCAGTTATTTTTTTGTCTCTCGAAACTTTAGCAAGAGTGGAGTACGAGGCGTGGCGAAGTTAAGAAACTTCAAAGTCCCGAACATGACTTGGAATGAGACGTTACATTATCTTTGGCAAAGCGCAAACTTCAGCTTGCCACTGCTGTCGTAATATTGGTCACTCCGAGCTAATCGGGTCATATTATAGCAAAACTGAGAGCTAGATAATGTAGAATAAGCGTTATTTGTTATTTTAGGTAAAGAAATACACAAACCTCCCATTGCAGAGTCCCCCTGTGCCCTCTGTTTTTGGACACGCCCGCTGACGTCATGCCGCCGGCAGGGATGGGCTTACGTCAACGTCTCCCATTAAGGAAAAAGAACCCTTTTCAGCGCAAAGACCCCCTAACAACCAACTTTATACAATGTAGCTTTTTCTGTAACTAATTAGAACTGTAACAATTTTATTTGGATCTATTTGTATCATAATTGATGTATATTTTTTATGTCTATACACATAAGTGCAAAATGAGAGCTCTATGTAAAACCACCTAGTTTCACTTAATGTTAATAGCGTACATAATGTTGCTAATGTTAGATGTGATATAGTCCATCACTGACCAAATGGGTATCCGAACTCAAGGGATGAAGCAGCATTGTGTTTACACGTAACATGCCAAATAACCAATTTTAAATAGTATTTTTAGGCACTTTGCTACTAGCTGGAAAAAACACGTTTTTTCCATTTCTTTTGGTAAATATAAGAAAAATGCAGAAGATAACATAGTTTGACAACCACAAAATACCGTTTTGCACCAATATGTGATTCCCACAGAGCTATTAGCTTAATAAATCAGAGGAAGCTGGACAAAGTCAGGAAAAACTATTTACAGCAGATGAACAGTGTCTTGAAGTCATGTCCTTAGGAATTTGGGAAAAATCCAGCAGATACCTGACCCAGGGCCTGAGAGCTACACCTGGCCCTTCAGTTTATTCTTCTGCTGTTCACTGAAGCCTCAATTGCATGAGAGCTCATTTTGCCTTATACACTTATATTTACATGTATGTTTGCAGATGTTTCCTTGAAAAATATAAAGACATGAGTTTAAAAAAATAAAAATAAAAAAACCCATCAGAATTGTAAAAGTTAGATTTATTTCTTCACCAGACATACTGTAACAGGAAGCAGTGACAGGATATCACAATTAGGATTT